GTTACAAGATGAACAAGTCCTGAAGAAACAACGCATAGTCAACAACGATACTGTATACTTGAGGACTTCCCTGGTTGTCCAGTGGTTAAGACTCCATACTTCCAATGAAGGGGACACAGTTCGATCCCTGGTTGGGGAATTAAGTCCCACATGCTATGCAGCAAGGCAAAAAAAAAAAAAAACTGTATTATATGCTTGAATGTCAATAAAAGACTGGATCTTACATATATAAGATGTGTGTGTAGGTGTATGTGTGTGTATAATCACCACACACAAAATAGTAACTATTGGAAGTGACGAATGTGTTAACTAACCTTATTGAGGTAACCATTTTACAATATATACGTGTATCAAGTCATCACAGTCATACACCTTACACTTACACAGTGTTATATGTTTACTGTATCTCATTACAGCTGGAGAGAGAAAGGGAGGAAGGGGTGGGGGGGAAGGAAGGAAGGAGGGAAGGGAAGAGAAAGGGAAATAAAAGAAAGAAAAAAGGAAAGAGGGAGAAAAAGAAGGAGGAGGAAGCAGGGAAAGAAGGAAGGAAGAGAAAGGAAAAAAGACCTGGCAGAAGTCAGAGAGATGCCAAGTGTCTTGGTGCTGAGATTCAGGAAAAGCCTATATGCAAAGACCAAGAAGAGAAGCACCGAGGAGCCAAGTACAGCCCTGGCTGACAGCCATCAAGGAAGCAGGAAGCTGTGACCACAAGGAACTTGATTCTGCTGACAACCTGAATGAGCACGGAAACGGATTCTTCTTCTGTGTAAAGACACAGCCCTGTGGACACTGTGATTTGGCTCTGTGAGACCTGTGTCCAAGTTCTAACTTAAGAGTTGTGAGACAGTAAGTTGGCATCATTTTAAGCTGCTTCTTGAGGTAACCTGCTGTAGCAGCAACAGAAAACAGGTCCAGTGGTATGCCCTCTTGCATCCTCACAGATTCTTTAAGTTTATACGGTGCATGTATGTGTGTTACAACAGCCTTTATAAAACAGCCCCCAGAATCCAACATCACACGGCAGATGTTGAAGCAGAAGTCCAGATGGCGGAATGAATGAGCGCGAGTTCCCCAGAAAACAGGCTGCAAAGTCCCTGGCTCTGAATCCAGGGTTCTTTCTAATGAGCTGTTGGCTTGAATACTGAGGTATCATACTTCGGATTTATCCTGGAGGAAGGTGGTCCCAAGAACTTGGAAACATAAAATCAGGACTGCTCTGAGGAGACCCCTGTGGAGTCATCCAAAATGGGATTGGTCATCACGGAAATCCCCAAAAAGGAAGTGTCCAGCCCCCCACCAATGTCCATCACAGTGATGTGTTAAGAGCTTCCCACTGCTGCCCTTCCTGGCGGGCCAGATGCCAGGGCAGGGGGCCATTCCTGTGGTCACCTGCCACAGGTCTCCCCATGCCCGGGGCTCTTCCTGAGCCTTTACTGATTTAATTCTCACAGAAGCACTATGAACTACTTCCTGTTATTGTCAGTTCTATTTTGCAAATGAAGAAACTGAGGCACAGAAAGGTTGAGTATCTTACGTGAAGTCACACAGCCGGTGAGTGGGGGAACCCATCCTTGGACCCAGAATGCCTAGGCTCTGTATTACACGATCTTTCTGCGTCAGAGACATGAGTCTCAAAGCATGAGAACCAGACAGGAAAACCTTGGCTTCAGACAAGGAAACTGGGCCACAGAGAGATACAGCGCCTTCTCAGCTCATTGTCATTGTCATCTGGTTTGAAATAGAAACAGAAAACTCCAGTCCACCCCTTGGCCCCAACTCCATCACTCCACAGGACACATGCACACACACACACAAACTCCTCTGGAAGTGAAATGAAGAGACAAGGAATTAGTGCTTTTGTAGGCAGAATGTGCAGAGACTAGTGCTGTCCCTTTAAGAATGAGTAGCTGAGGCACTGGAACCCGCCAGAGCTGTGTATCATGTATTACAATTCTGGTTTTGCCATGGCATGATCTTTCCTGATTCACTTCATGATGTTTATAGAGGTAAAACCTGGAGGAAGATGTGAGACATACAGAAAACATAAAGCAAAACGGCAGATGTAACCTTAGTTCTGATTGGACAAAAATACCACGCTCTAACAGGAGACACATTCTAGATTCAAAGATACAGATAGGTTGAGAGTTAAAGGATTTAAATATATATATATATATATATAATGCAAACAGCAATATCAGAGGGTCAATCCATCAGGATGATATAAAAACTATAAATATATATGCACCCAAAATATATGAATATATAACAACAGAGCCCCAAAATATACGAAGCAGAAATGGACAGAATTAAAAGGAGAACTAGACAATTCAATAATAAGTGGGCCCTTTAATACCCTGCTTTCAATAATGGATAGAACAACTAGGCATAAGATCAGCAAGGAAATAGAAGGCTTGAACAACACTATAAACCACTAGATCTAAAAGACATTTGTAGAATATTCCACCCCAAAACAGAAGAATACATTTTTCTCAAATGCACATGGGAAAATCTCTAGGATAGACAATATGTTAGGCTACAAAATGAATCTCAATGTATTTTAAAAGATTGAAATCCCACAAATAGCTCCTTTTACCACCAGTTCTAAGAAGTCTGTGGAATGGTTCCACATGAAGATTTAGCCAGAGGATTTCACTGTGGTTGTTTGAAAGCTGAAAGCTTCTAGAAAACTTCAGGGCATCTATCTAAGTATTACCTCATGCCACCCTATAGTGAGCATTAAGTTAGTGAACACTTGAGAAGCACTTACAAAAGTGCCTGGCATGTAGTAAGCATGTGATAAATTTTAGGTGTTATTAATTCTCACAATAATATTATGGGGCAAGCTTCAATATTTCCCCTGTTTTACAGGTGAGGAGATAGAGACTCAGAGATGCACAGTAAGTTGCTTGAGGTTACCCAGCAAATAAGCAGGGGTCCCAGATTAGAAGTTAGTTAGACTTCAAAGCCCCATATAAATGCAGAGGGGCATGTCTCAAGACTTTCATCACCATGTTGTTTTCAGTAGCTTAAAATTGGAAACTGCAGAGGTCCACCAACAGAGCTGTTCTGTAAACCAGCCCTCCCAATCAGGCAGTGCTTTGCCCTGGTTACAATAAACGAGGCCACCCTCTATGTAGGGACATGGAACCATCCCCAAGGCATTTTGTTCAGTAAAAAGAACATCTGAAGAAATGTGCCATAGCCCACAGAAAGTAAAGTCAAATCTTCTGTAAAATCTAAGTTCATATGAGTGTGTGACCTAGGAAGGCTCCTATGAACAAATGAAGGTGATTTAAACAATAGGATCTATTTATAGGATGCTTCCTTTCTTTAGACTTTTCTTACACATGCTCAAAGAAAAAAATTCAGAGTACAGTAAATTGTCAAGAAGAAAAAAGAAATCATCAGAAATCACTTCCTCCAGAATTAATTAGGCTAACATTTTGGTGTCTATCTTTTCGAGTCCTCTTTGACTGACTGTGAGTGTGTGTGTGAGTGTGTGTATGTGTGTGTATGTGTGTGTGTGTGTGTATATATATATATAGGGTTTTTCCAGTAGTCATGTATGGATGTGAGAGTTGGACTATAAAGAAAGCTAAGCACTGAAGAATTGATGCTTTTGAACTGTGGTGCTGGAGAAGACTCTTGAGAGTCCCTTGTTCACCAAGGAGATCAAACCAGTCAATCCTAAAGGAAATCAGTCCTGAATACTCATTGGAAGAACTGATGCTGAAGCTCAAGTTCCAATACTTTGGCCACCTGATGCGAGGAACTGACTCATTGGAAAAGACCCTGATGCTGGGAAAGACTGAAGGCAGGAGGAGAAGGGGATGACAGAGGATGAGATGGTTGGACGGCATCACCAACTCGATGGACATGAGTTTGAGCGAGCTCCGGGAATTGGTGTTGGACAGGGAAGCCTGGCTTGCTGCAGTCCATGGGGCTGCAAAGAGTCAGACACAACTGAGTGACTAACACACACACATATACAAATATAAGAATTCCATTGTGTAAGAACATGTCCCCCACATTATAGAAGCTTAAGAAACAGAGAAGTGTATTTCTCTATCACATTAAATCTGGGTTCCAAGCAGAGTGTTTGCTCCACAGTCATCATGGTTTCAGCCTCCTTCTATTTTCTTGCTGTATTACTCTCAACGTGTGGCTCTCCCTTCAAATGGGTAGCATGACCGTCAAGTGTGTGGGCTCTGGGCCTAGACTTCCCGGCCTCAAGTCCAGGCTCTACCATCTACTAGCTCCGTGATCTTGAGTTAGTCACTTAACCTTTCAGCTCCTCAGTTCACTCATCTGTCATAATGCTACTTCATAGCGTTCTTAGCAGGATGATGTGAATTAATGCAGATAAAGGTCTCAGAACAGTGCCTGCTCAATAAATGTTAGTTGTTTTTATTATGTAACTTCAGAAAGGCAACTGTGTGTCCAGAAAGAGAGATAGGGAAGGGAGGATGTCTACACTGTACAGTGTGGGCGGTTCTGCCTGGACATGAGCCCAGCTGTGAGCAAGATGCTGGGGGCGTGGACAGAATCCCACACATCTGAGCGAGAGCGAATCTAAAATTATAGTGTGCAAACCAATGCAATGGCTACCACACTCTGCCACTCTTTATGTTCAGTGTATTTATTATTGCAAAGGACTCTATTCAGAAAACTGCCAATGCCTTATTTTATGAGAGATTGAAAGGATTTCTCAGTGTTTTTAAAAAATGTGTTTACTTTTAATTTTCTCCTCACCCACATTAAATGCTCTCCCCCGCAGTAACTATCATTTCAAAATGATAAGGGCTAGAATAAATGCCAGGGACTTTCCAAAGGTTGTTGAGCTGATAGTTGGGGAAGCCAGAGAGAGACTCCACTTTGAGGACCCCCAGTCCAGTGCCCTTTCTTCGATCCTAGCTCTGGGGGACAGCCATGACCTTCTGCCAAAGGCTCCTTCCGGAGTGGAGGGGAGGGCCAGTCCACATGTAGAACTTGAACACACTCTAGAAGGTGTCTGGAGTGAGGAGAAAGGGGATATGGATTCGAATCCCACCCAGCTTCACAGCTGGCCGTATGTGACCTCCCTGAGGTTGCTGCATGAAGGTTACACTATAGAGGTTGACACCTACGTCGACATCTGTATACGTGGACACAGTAAGAGCTCCAGTTTGTTCCCTTCCCGCCATGGAGACAGGGAACTCTGGGTGCAATGTAGCTTTCAGCCAGCAGGTGGCGCTGCAACCCAAGAAGCAGGAGAAGGTAAGAAAAGGGTCGGTCTGGAGGGCTGATCAGCTGGGGTCCTGCTGACCGGAGGGGGCGGGGGGGGGGTGCTCAGCCACAGGGAAGGTGCCCGCACGAGTGCCTGCCACGCCCACACGGGCAGACACACCCAGCACCTCGCGTAAGTGCCTAACCAACAACCAGCCTTACATGAGAAGGAGGCCTTCCCCTATGAGATCTCCTGGAATCTTCACAAGGATTGGAGGATTGGAAGGACTGATGCTGAAGCTGAGACTCCAATATTTTGGCCGCCTGATGCGAAGAGCTGACTCATTTGAAAAGACCCTGATGTTGGGAAAGATTGAAGGTAGGAGGAGAAGGGGACCACAGGAGATGGTTAGATGGCATCACCGACTCAGTGGACGTGAGTTTGGGTAAACTCCAGGAGTTGGTGATGGACAGGGAGGCCTGGCGTGCTGCGGTTCATGGGGTTGCAAAGAGTCGGACACGACTGAGCGACTGAACTGAACTGAACTGAATCCTCACACCTGCCCTATGGATAGTGCCAATGCGATCCCATTTTACAGGTGAGGAAAGTGAGCCCAGAGAGGCAAAGTGAGCTGTGCTAGGTCAGAGAGCAAGTCCATAGCAGAGCAGGGATTTGAGCTATGCCCATAATAATAGTAACGGCCAACCCTAGCAGAGCAGAAAATGTTTTGTTGGAACAGCTAACATTGTTCCAAGGCCTTCTGTACACATTAACTCAATAAATCATAACAGCCCTATGCAGTAGGTATTAGCATATTAGTTTCAGGTTACAGAGGAGAAGATGAAGGCACTGAGAGGTTGGGCAACTTGCCCAAGGCCACACGGCCAGAGCATAAGAGCTGAGATTTTTAACTCCAGTGTCTCTGCTCTAAACCACTGCACTCCTTGGCCTTCTGAGAACAAGTGTATGGGATGCACGGACACACCCCCTCTCGTGCTCACATTCTCAGCCAGGGCGGCTCCAAACTACCGAGTGCAAGGTCCCTCGGTGCTATGCAGGGAACAGAACCACAACACACCCCTCACCCGTCTGGCCATGTCAGGAGCCACTCTCCTGTGAGGAGGAGAGAAGACATCCCCTGGGAAGGCCCCTGCTAAATGCTGCCGTTTCCCCAAGGGAGACTCCTACTTGAAGTCTTCCTGCAGCCCCCAGACACCATGAGGTCACCCCTCCTGTCACAGCCCCACTTAGGCACAAAGGCAGGATCTCTCTGTCCACCGAGGCAGTCGAGGAAGGAGTGAAGCAGGGAGACCAGTGCGGAGGCCATGGCAATGGCCCAGGTGCTGGTTGTGGAAGCGGAAGGAAGGATTTGGATTCTGGATATATTTTGAAGGATGAGCCCACAGAATTTGATGAATTTGACGTGTGGGTGTGAGAGAAATTGTTATGATAAAATACATGACATACATTTGGTGAAAAGGTGTTCGTTATCGAGTGCTGCACAACAAACGAACTCAAAACTCAGTGGCTTAGGATGACAATAAACATTTATTATCTCCAACCGTTTCTGTGGGTCAGGAATTCAGGAGTGGCTTCGCTGGGTGGCCCTGGCCCAGAATTTCTCATGAGGCCGCAGTCATCTGAAGGCTTCGTGGGGCTGGAGAATTCATACCCAAGGCAGATGACTCACCTGATGCAGGTTGTAACCGAAGAGCCTGGTTCCTCTCCACGGGCCGCTTGCATGTCCTCCTGACAAGATGGCTGCCGGCCCCCAGCCAGTGACCAAGTGAACAGAATGAAAGACGCCATGCCTTTGATGGCCAAACCCAGGAGTCACCCTCTCCTTCCTGCTCGACCTGTTGGCTGCACAAGGCAGCCATCAGGGCATGAACAGCAGCAGGCACGGGTCCTTGGGGCCATCTTGGAGCTGGCTCCCACGTTAGAAGAGAATTGTTCTCCTTTCTTTTTTTTTGTCTTATTTTTTTAAATTTTGGTAAAATATATATAGCAGAGAAGTTACCATTTTAAGTATACAGTTCAGTGGCACTAAACGCATTTCCATTGGTGTGCGACCAACACCACCAGTTATCTGCAGAACTTTATCACCTCCCCAAACTGAAATTCTGTACCTGATCAACTACAATGCCCCATTTCCCCTTCCCCGGAGTTCCTAGCAACCACGATTCTACTTTTCATCTCTTTGATTTTGATTAGGTAGCTCACATAAATGAAATTATGTTTGTCCTTTTATGTAACACATTTCTCTCAGCAGAGCATTATCAATGTTCACCTATATTCCAGCATATGTCAGAAATGACTTCCTTTTTAAGGCTGAATAATACTCCATTATATATACCACATTTTGTTTATCCATTTATCTGTCAGTGGACACTGGAAATGCTGCCACCTTTTGGCTGTTTCGAATAACGCTGCTATGAACACTAGTGTACAAATACCTGCTCGAGTCTCTGCTTCCAGTCCTTTAGCTATATACCCGGAAGTGTAATTGCTGGATCATATGGTAATCAGGAAGATACCCTCGAGAAGGAAATGGTTACCCACTCCAGTATTCTTCCCTAGAAAATCCCACGGACAGAGGAGCCTGGCAGGCTACAGTCTGTGGGCTTGTGAAGAGTTGGACAATTGAGCGACTAACACTTTCACTTTCATGGCAATTTTATGTTTAATATTTTTGAGGAACTTCTATGCTCTTTTCCACAACAGCTGCACCATTTTGTATTCCAACCAGCAGTGAACAAAGATTGTATTTTCTCCATATCCTCACCAACACTTACTATTTTCTCTGTGTGTGGTTTTTTTTAAACAATAACAATCCTAATGGGTGTGACATGCTGTCTCACTAATTGTGATTTTGATTTGCATTCCCTTAATGAGGACTGGGCTTCCCAGGTGATGCTAGTGGTAAAGAACCTGTCTGCCAGTGCAGGAGACAAGAGATGCAGGTTTGATCCCTGGGTCAGGAAGATCCCCTGGAGAGGGCATGGCAACCCCCTCCAGTATTCTGGCCTGGAGAATCCCATGGACAGAGGAGGCTGCCGGGCTACAGTTCATAGGATTGCAAAGAGTTAGGCACAACTGAAGCAACTGAGCATGCATGCAGTGATGTAGTAGCACTGAACACCTTTTTGTTGGCTTACTGACCATTTGTATATTTTCTTTGGAAAAATGTCTACTCAAATGTTTTGGCCATTTTTTTCATCGGGTTGTTTGGTTTTTTGTTGTCTTCCCCTTTCTTGGCAAATACATACCCTGCAAGCAGCAGCAAATCACCCATTTTGGCTCTACCTATTTTCACCCAGCTTCAGTTTCTGCCAAGCCTCACCCTATGGATGCTGTGGGGAGCAAAGCTCAAAGTTACCTGCCCTGTGGAGCTCACTCCATGGGGAACCAGGCACTAATGAGAGGTCAGCTGGTGACAGAGTAGCTTTTATTTCAGGGGACAGCAACGGGCAGTCCCAGGCCCCTTTCAGCCTTTGTGCCTGGCATGTCAGCTCCTCACAATGTGTTCTAAAAGTCTTGAAAGAGTTTCCAGCATTTTTAAAAATTGGGAGACAACATCAAAATGTAGATTTACTGCTACTTGGGAAAAATTGAAAGCTGTGACCACTGGGCCTGCCTTGTCCACTAGCCGACATCACCTGATTGAAGTGCCAGCCCCCACCCCCACCCCATGCCTACAGTGTTGGCTGCTGACGGCTCGTCTCTGCAGGAGCAGTCACTCCAAAGACTGGCCAGTGCAGAGCACAGAGGCCTGACCTGCCTGTTGTAGATCGTGACATCTCTGAAGGGCTATCCCCACTCCAGAGCTCCTGATGGAACTGCCCAAGGCCTCCTCTGTTGCAACTGCCTAACCATACCACTCTCACTCCCTCAATATCTAAAGAGCATTCCCTGGGAAACCACCTGCTTGCAAATCTCCATCTCAAGGTCTGTTTCCTGGGGACCCTGACCTTCCAGAAGGATATGTGCTTACCTGCTCCCCAAAGCCCTGGCCTAGCCCACCAGGCACTAGAGTTCTCCAGCCTTGGTTATGTCCTGGCCTCCCCATAGTAATAACAAAAGGAGGAGCTAACGCTTCTGAGGCAGAGACCACGTGCTCACGTTATAGGCATTATTCCTAGCATTTAATGCCCACAACAACCTCGTGACCCTGCGATCACTACATACTTATTGAAAGTCCAATTTAAAAAAGGCAAAACTGACAATACTAAGTGCTGGTGGGAATGCAAAATGATACAGTCACGTTGGAAAACAGTTTGTCAGTTTCTTATAGAACTATAAGTATAGTTGTAATATGATCCACTAATCACACTCCTAGATATCTACCCTAGAGGAATGGGCTCATGTCCACACAAAGGCCTGCATGCACATGTTCATAGCAGCCTTATTTATTATAATTGCTAGTAATTGGAATAGGCCCAAATGCCTTTCAACTGGTGAATGAGAAATAAGTGGTGGTGTATCCATACAATGAAATACTACTTGGCAATAAAAAGGTACAGACTTCTGACAAATGGAACCACATGGATGAATCTCAATGCATGACGTTGAGTGAAAGAAACCAGAGTCAAAGGGCTACATACTGTAGGATTCCATTCATCCAACATTCTTGCAAAGGCAAAACTCTACAGAAAACAGGTCATGGTTGTTGGGTGTATTCATTTCCTAGGACTACTGCAACAAAGTTCCACAAACTGGGTGGCTTAAAACCACAGAGACTGGTTCTCTTATAATTCCAGGGCCAGAAGTCTGAAATGAGTGTTGGCAAGGCTGCACTCCCTCAGAAGTTTCCCAAGGACAAGCTGTTCCTTGCCTCTTCCAGCTTCTGTGGCTCTCTCCTTGGCGTGAGGCCACATCACTCCAGTCTCTGCCTCTGTGGTCACATCAGCTCCTCCTCTGCATGTTTGCCTCTCTCTTATAAGGGATGTGATGGCATTCAGGGTCTGCCTGAATAATGTAAGATAAGCTTCAATTCGAGATCCCTAATTTTATCACATCCACAAAGATTTTTTTTCCAAGTAAGGTAACATATATGAAATTCAGGGTTAGAACTCAGCACTTTTGGAGGGCACCCTTATTCAACCTACTGTACCAGGGATTGAGGGAAAAGAAAGGAACTACAAAGGGGCATGAGGGAATGTGGGGGTGATGGAAATGTTCTATATATCAATTGTGGTGACAGTTGCCTAACTTACACATGTGTCATACCTCCGGGGGAACTGGGAATGAAGGAGGCAGTCTGGGCACTGAGACTGTTCTCAAGGTAATCAATGCACTATTTATTATTTGGGGAGAAAAATGAGGTAGGGTTGGGGGGGAGGGGTTCTGTGTTCCACCGCTAATAATTAAGCAAAAAAAAGTTCGAAAATGATGGGAATGGATGAGCTTCCCGCCAGCAATGACATTTCACGATTCTCCAGTTCTTTGGCTTTCAGACTCCTTCCTTCAGAATTTCACAAGGCTGAAGATGCTGCCCACTCTGGAGCCAAGAGGGCAGTTGTCTGAGATGCGTGAGCTGGGTGGAGGCGGGGGGAAGATGCTGGGGCTGGGTGGAAATAATAGCAGGGGGAGGGTTCTGACCCCTCTCCCCACAGAGCACTCACACCCTTTCTCTGGGGACAAGGCCTCTGTCCCCTCCATTCACTCACCCCAGCTGATACCACACCCCCCCTCCCGAGGCCCCCCCACCTCCTCTCATTGTCTGAAGGGCTCAGATGGAGGGGCAGCCCATTAACCCCTTCCTGGCCTCATTGCTTCACTCCACAGCTGTCACACCCGCAGCCTAAGGCCCGAGCAGGAAGGAGGACCCGACAGTTAATCACAATTACCACGCGGAGTGTCAGCTGTGAGGCTGGACTCCTCCATCGACTGCCAGCCGGCCCAACCCGGGGCAACCCGCGCCAACCACGCAGCAGATTCTAAGACCTACAGAGGCAAACAGAAGACAGTCTCTTCCTGGGTCATTTCTGGGGACTTCCCCAAAGACCTTGGCAAGGGGTCCTCCATGGTCAGGGCTGCAGCCAGGAGCCTACAAAAGCCCCAAGCCTGTCCCCTGCCCCCCGCACCTGATCATCACATGGTGGATTCCTCATCTAGAAATGTCACCTCCTCCAAGAGGCCTTCCTTGAGCATCCTGGCTGATATGGGGCTGCTGTTCCCACTCAGCCCTCTGTACATGCCCTGTTTACGAGCTGCTTTATTTTTCCAAAGCACTGTCACTACCTAGGATTGTCTCAGGTGTTGATTGGTTTAGCGTGAATATTAGTTTCCTGGGGCTGAAGTAAGAAATTACCACAAACTAGATAGCTTAAGGCAACAGAAATTTATTCTCTCAGTTCTGAATGCTTGAAATCCAATATCTTGGTGTCAGCAAGGCCATGCTCTTTCTAAAGGCTCCAGGGAAGGAAATGGATGCTTTTTTGCTTTTCCAGCTGTGGGGGTTGCCCGCAATCCCTGGTGTCCCTTGGCTTGTAAACACATCACTCTGTCTCAACTTCCATCTTCATACAGCCTTCTCCCTTCTATGCCTGGGTCCAGATTTCCTTCTTCTTTTAAGGACAAGAGTCACTGGATTAGGGTTCACCATAATCCAGTATGACCTCATACTGATTACATCTGCCAAGACCCTATTTCCAAAGGAGGTTATCTTCACAAGTGCCAGGGGTCAGGATTTCAGATCACACAATGCCCAGAAACATGTCTTCTCTACACGTCCTGAGAGAGCAGGGCTGCGTTGGCCTTGTCATGGGACGGAGCCTCTATGCCCATCAGTTTGTTTCAAAACATCAATTTATCAAGGCCTCTGCCCCAGGCCAGTGGCTCTAATGCAGTCTCTGGCAGGAGAAGCCTGCTGTCTAGAGGGGAACAGACATGGAAGCAGGTTCCTATCCATCTCCGGGAACCCTGCGGTCCAGCTCGCAGTGAGCACCAGTATACATGGCGGTCTGAACAGATGAGGAAGAAGGGAGGACCATGGAGGCCAGAGCAACCCACTCAGACTGGGGCTGGTGAGAACTTCACCAAGCAGCCAACCCTTGCAGGAGAGTGAGGCTGAGGTAAGAGCACAGGGCTGAGGGAGCCCGGGCACCCAGGACCCAGGGAGCACGGGCACCCAGGACCGAGGGAGCACTGGAGTTGAGCAATCGGCAGGTGGGTGACAAGTACCTGGAGGGCTGCTGCCTGGATGAGGCGGAGAAGGCAGGAACAGCTGAGTCTGAACTTTGCCCTGATGGTGCTGGGGAACCACTAAAGGATTTAACGCAGGGGTGTGTTGATGTCAGGGCTTCCCCGGTAGCTCAGCGGTAAAGAATATGCCTGCAATGCAGGAGCTGCAGGAGACCTGGGTTCAATCCCTGGGTTGGGAAGATCCCCTAGAGAAGGGAATGGCAACCCACCCCACTATTCTTGCCTGGAGAATCCCATGGACAGAGTAGCCTGGCAGGCTACAGTCAGCGGGGTCACAAAGAGTCAGACATGACTGAGCACATGTTGATGTCAAATTTGCATGTAACTGATCTCTTCATTTTTAATTTTTATTTAAGTAATATATTCAGCTACGTAAGAGCTGAATTAAGAGTCAACAGGTGTAATAGGATATGGCAAAGATATTAAGAGTCAACAAGTGTAACAGGATATGGCAAAGAAGTCTCCTTCTTCCCCACCCGGTTCCCAACCTGTAGGCAGCCACTGTTACCAGCCTCTCCCAGAGACAGTCTATGCAGATACAGGCAAATTTCTTTCCTTTTTAATCATAAAGGACACATAATTTACACTGTTCTGCACCTTGCCTTTTAAAGGTGAAAAGGCATCATTTAATACAGTGAAATGTATCTGTGTAAACAATATGCAATCATGAAACAGAACATTTCCAGCACCCCAAGAAGTTCTTTCACATCCCTTCCCAGTCATTCCCTCCCCATGGCCTGGAGGAAGTCACTGATCTAATTTCTATCACCATCAATTGATTTATTTCAATTGTTCTAGAATTTCATATCAATAACATCATTGCGGCAAGTTATTTTCTTGTGTCCCGCTTGGCTTTGCTCAGCTGTGTTCAGAGATTCTTCCAGGTTGTTGCATGCAGGCACTAGCTTACTCACTGGTGCCACAGTGTAGCATCCCATAATGTGGAGTGGCCAGTTTGCTTATCCATCCTCTGGTTGACCGAAACTAAGCTGCCCTCACTTATTGTCTATTACAAATGAAACTGTTACGGATGTTTGTGGACCAGTCCTTGTGGGAACATATATTTCTTTGAGGCAAAAACCTAAGGGTGAAGTTGCTGGGTCATAGGGTAGGTGTATGTTTAACTTTATAAGAAACTGCCAAACTGTTTTCCAAAGTGGAATATCTGAAATGCTGTTTCATGTCAGTGCACCGTGAATGTCCTTGTTTGTGTTTATGAATGCGTAGTGCTCCAGTGCCTGGATGTTACCAAATGTGTTTAACCAGTCCTCTATAAGGCTGTTTCTAGTCCTTTGCTGTTACAGACAATGCTGCTGTGAATAACCTTTGTAGATATGTCACATGTCACGTGGGTGAGTGCACTGTAGGACACACTCCTCAAAGTGACAGACTAATGGTTCTAATAAGACTAATAAGCCTCCACTATCCAGGCTTCATTTCTTCCTTTGAGACAGAACCTACTGTTTTCATCTGGACACAGGATGCCCGGAACACACACTGTGTTTCTCAGCCTGTCTTGTAGCTTACTGTGGCCATGCAATCAAGTTGGCCTATGAAATATAAGCAGAAGGATTGCATGTGATTTCCATAAAGGGTCTTTAAAGGGACTTGACCTCTTTCTAATGATGGGAGGTCTCTCCCTCTAGGATGTAGATGTGATGGCTTGTGTGTGAGCAACCATTCTAGGCCATGAAATAGAAGCCATATAAGGCCAATTTACTAAAAAGATAGAAGGAGTCTAGTTTTCCAAACTTTGGAGTACCATGCCAGCCCTAGACTGCTGGACACCAGACTGACTTTACATGAGAAATGCCTCTGCTTTGAACCACTATCAATATGGGGTTTCTGTCACATGCAGCCACTGAGTTATAGATCCTGTGCCTTTGTAAGTTTAAAAAGCAGTGCCATATAGCTTTGTTTTTAGAAAGGTCATTTTGGGGGATGGAGTACAGGTAGACTGAAGGGCTGAGGAAAACCAGGAGACATCAGGACACTGGTAAAGAGGAAGAATGAGAAGGCCTGAGCCCACGTGGGAGCAATTAGATGGTGGGGGATGGAGAGAACAGCCAAATTCTCTCCAAATCTAAAGGAAAGAAGGATAAACTAGAAATGAAAAGACAGGTGCTCCCATCCCACTCCACCCACAGCCCATGCTTTATCTGACCCTCGCCGCTTGGCCACCCCCCAGCACAGTGAGTTCCAGGTCCCGCCCCAGTGAGCCAGTCTTCCTGGGTACACCTTACTTGCTGTTTCAGCAATGCTTTGTTCCTGCCTACCCTTCTACTGGCAAAGGCCTCCTCCGGCCAGGCCCTCCACCTCCTCAACTGGCTAATCCCCACTTGTCTCTCCGGCCTTATCGCAGGCCAGGCCTCCTCCAGGCAGCCCTCTCAGGCTCCCTCCTCCACAGAAGGTCTTGCTCTGAGCCCACGCACTGTTGCCACCCTTCCGCTAGCGTTTGCCAGGCTGCCTTATGATCCTACAGAAGTCAGCCTGCAGCATGAGAGAGCCTCATGGCTGGTGAGAGGGGAACCAAGAGGGGCCCAGCCCAGGAAGCAGCGTTTAAAAAATGTGACCCACTTCTCAGGCCTTGATCTGAGCACTTAACACTTGACTTAACTCAAGCAACGCTTCGCAAAGCAACTCTGTGACTGGGCGAATGAATGAATGAATGAACGAACGAATGAATGAAGTACCCACCAGGGGGCGGTGGCGCTTTGCCTCTTCAGACTGGGAAGAGCCGCTTTCCCACTGCCCCTCCTCTACACACACGAGGGAATCGCCCTAGCCCCGCCCGCCCCCTCCCCGCCTCAGATAATTAACTCGAACCAATAAAACGCTGATTGCGGCGCCTTTGTACGCGCCGCCTCGGCATTGTCATGGAAAACGGGGGTCCCCTCCCCATCCCGGTTGCCCACCCCTCCCCAGTCCCCGCAGCTGGCCCAGAGTCGGCCCGAGCCACCTGGACGGGACCGGGGGACCCCGAGCCGTCCGGCGCCCCGTCCATCTGCTCCTGCTCCCCAGCCCCGCCCGCACCGTCAGCTGCGGACCCGACCCAGCCCCGAGCCAGCGAGGACTGTCTACGAAGCCCGCACCTCTTTCCTCCGCCGCACCCCGCGGGACCTGGGAGCAGACGCCCCGATCCCCGACTGCAAGCCTGGGGTTCATCCTTAGACACTGCTCGGGTGGAGGTGCATTCATGGTCAGAAATAATCCCAGTGATGAGAAGTCCAAGAGTACAGGAGGGAACCAGTGGGAAAGCCCACCCGCCCCCCATCCTTAGCTCCCCAACAAAACCTTCCAGAAACCTTCCAACATATGTAAGTACATATAGGAATATATTTTAATGAGGATACAAGTAACAAGGAAAAGAAACTGGAGGTAAGCAATTTAGAAAGTGCTCTGTTTCCCAAGACTGTTCCCCCTTCCTCCTCACCTCCCCCACGACTATCAGCTTGGGGATATTTCTCCAGAGAGCCTTCTCTGCGTGCACATTCATAAATGTATCTGCATATACACACACATGTACCACCCTAAATGGAATCATGCTCTACCTATTATCTACGGGTCGCTTTATTTTACTTGACAAGGAATGTAGTGAGATCCCTTCGGAGATGTGTTGTTTACAGAACACCACCACCGCAGGCCCCTCTGATGGCTCCCAGCCCCCTTCAGCCTGGGTGTGATCTGCTGCCTGGCCTGTGTGCCCTTCCCAATGTGCTCACCCTTAGGGGAAGGTTCTGTCCCGGCGTCCCTGCGTGAATATGGAGGTGGGGTGAGGTCTGTGTGTTTCTGGGCTTCTGGGAACCTATCAGGTCTATCAGCTGCCTTTCAGCAGAGAGAATAGGAGAAATAACAATAATAACAGCAGCAGCAGCTGCTGCAATGCAAATATATCCAAAACATGAGAAACAAGACAAAAGGAAGCCTGTGTGTCTTTTCAATGTCATAATAAGCATCAGCCCATCAGGGCACCTGTTTCTCTAGGTGATACACCTTTGTTTGACTGTGCTGTTGATTATTGATCCAAGTCCTTGCTCAGTGAAGTTACAAGTTATCTTATAAAAAAATACACAGTTGCAAATTATTTCTGTCCTATAATAAAAACAATGGGAAAGCTTGTGATTTTGTTGCCCTGTAAGACTTTCAGCTAATGCCATCTTGTCCTTTATTGAAGCAGATTTACCATCCTTCTGTTTCCCCCACTGAGGAGTTAAATAAACCTTTGACGTGTACTTACTCTGTATTTGCATGAGCTTCATGTTTTCAGCTTTCTGAAAATAATACTTTGAACCAGTTAACTTTTCTTGAAGGTTCACTTTGTGCCAGGCACCTCCTCTGGGCTTCACTTGGAAGAAGGAGCTTAGAGGGCCAACTCTAGGGTGACAGATCTGGGTGTGACTTCCCCTTTGGCCACTCACCAGCTGTGACATCTCAAGCAAGACTTTATTAAGCACTATCTCTATGCCAGGCTCACCTATATTCTTATCTTTTACTCAACTCAAACTGCATGACATCCTTACAAGAGGAGAACAGCTTTTACATTTTCCAGTTTGTACATGTCCTGTGTACATCCCATCCCTCAAGACTCGGGCTCATCGATTGTGAGGCGAGGTTGGTGATGGCTGCTTCCCAGAAAAGTAGGAAGATACAGCTGTCTGATGAAGACAGCTCCATCAGAAGTGCATTTTGGTACTTGTAGTTCAGCCGCGAGAAGCTCAGGGAGGGGAAGTAACCTACCAACAGTCACAAGGTCCCAAAGCCTGGGCCATCACACCTGCTGCCTCAGTCATGTAATGTCTCAGAGCCTCCATTTCCACATCTGTAAAATGGGAATAACAAAAGCTGTTGCCAAAATGAAAGCAGACCCCGCCTGGTAAGAAGTCAGTCTCAGAAGTGGCAGCTGCAAACTTGGTTTCATTGTTGTGTGAAAGCTGTAAAGTGCTTATGTCACACCTCAGGTCACCTGTTGAGATGCCTTTTGACTCTTGTTTTTATTTATTTATTTTAAAAATATTTATTTACTTGGCTTTACCAGGTCTTAGTTGTGGCATATGGGATCTAGTTACGCGACCAGGGATTGAACTTGGGCATGCTGCATTGGGAGCTTGGAGTCTTAGCCACTGGACCACCAGGGAAGTCTCTTGGCTCTTATTTTTAGAACTAGCACCTAAGAGGAGGTGTATTTTTCTTTCTTCCACCCCAACAAGATGATTGCTTGTGTTTTGAGTTCCAGGCTCTTCTTAGGGGATCCTTGGCAGCCTCTTTGCTTGTATAGGGTTTTCTTTCCTAAAATGAACCCCATCCAGATTTGGGGTCAAAAGTAGCAGCTCCCAAGACTGCAGGCTTGGAGACTGTATTGTTTTCTGAGACTTCTGTAACAAAGCAGCAAAACGAACTGAATAGATTAAAACAACAGAAATAATAATAGTATTGTCTCATAGTTCTGGAGGCTAGACACTTAAAATCAAGATGTGAGCAGGGCCAGCTTCCCTCTGGAGCTCTGGGGACGTATCTGCTCCAGGCCTCTCCTGACTTCTGGGTTTGTCCACAATCTGTGGCATTCCTTGGCCTATAGAAGCATCACTCCAATGTCTGCCTCCATCATCACATGGCCATCTCTCTTTACCTGTGTCTGTGTCCAAATTTCCCTCTTCTCATCAGGACACTAGGCATTGGCTTAAGGGCTGCCCTACTCCACTATTACCACATCTTAACTTGATTACATCTGCAAAGACCCTATTTCTAAATAAGGTCACACTCTAGGGTTGTATGTGGACACAAATTTGGGAGAAGGTGATGTCATTCAACCCAGTACAGAGTCAAGTATCTCCCTGGTGATCCTGAAGGGACCTGACCCTCCCTACATTTTCTGGATTGCTAAAACCCCAGGATTCCTGTGAGACCCTCCGGACGAGCAGTATCAAGTGTCAGATCACCCTATCAGTGGACAGCTAAGAGTGGCATTTCCTCTGATAAATTAAGCATGAGCATGCCGGTGAGGACTGGACAGTACCTACGGCCCATGTCTCTTCACTTTAAACTGTGCACATAGTGGTTGGCTCTGAGCTGCCAGCAGGTTTTTGGTCTATATTTTCCTATCTGTCAAATAGGCACAGTGAGAATACTTACACAAATTTTGAGAATACACAACATTCATGGTGATAAAAAATCAGAATAGTGGTCACCTGGGGGTTGGGCAGGAGGCAGCCTGCTGGGTGGGGAAAATGTTCTGTAAATATGGATAGTAGTCACACGGGTGTATACTTACATAAAAATTCACTAAATTGCACACTTCAGATGTGTGTGCTCTAGCTACTTTGGTGTGTATTTTTTTAAGATTATTTATTTATGGCTGTACTAGGTCTCTGTTGCTGCTCACGGGCTTTCTCTAGTTGCATTGAGCAGGAGCTACTCTCTAGTTGTGGTGAACAGGCTTCTCATTGCGGTGGCTTCTCTTGTTGTGGAGCATAGGCTCTAGGCTTGTTGATTCAGTATTTGTGGTACATGGGCTTAGTTGCCCTGTGGCATGTGGGATCTTCCTGGACCAAGGATTGAACCCATGTCCCCTGCACTGGCAGGCAGATTCTCAACCACTCGACTACCAGGGAAGCACTAGTTTGTGTATTTTAAACCTTAATAAAAAGGTTAGAAAAGGAAGGAAGGAAGGAAAGGGGGAAGGAGGGAAAGAAAAGGGAAGGAAGAAAGAGGAGCACAATGACCCTTGCCAGGTCTGGCTTCCAGGACAAAGGGGAGAGGCCCACCACCGGGCCTTTCTGCAAATGGTGGGCAGAGGGGCACTGGGCTGTAACCTTGGCAGCAGAAACTGAATAATGGTGTGGTGTTGGGCATGGCCTTCTTTCTGTGTCCTCTCACCCCAGGCCTGTCTATCTCCCAGGCCTCCCTCCTGGAAGATCGGAAGCAGGACTTGGGAGTCACGTCCGCTGGCTGTATGACCTTGAGCATGTTGCTTGCCTTCTCTGAGCCCTAGGCACCTCACCTGAAACATAAAGACAAACACTCTCAAAGAAGTGTGGCAAGGACTGGGTCACTGGCTGGTGGTGGGCCTCTGGTCAGTGGTTCACTCTGCTGTGGCTCTGCTCACAGCTGCTCCTCCTAGCCCAGGCCCAGAGTGGACAGGGACCCAGCCACAATGTCCTAGCATGATTACAGGCAAGTGAGAAGCAGTGCTGGATTCCTGGGGTCAAGTCCTGATGTTTCCCACTCACCACCTCGGTGACTGTAGGTCAACCGATGTCTTGGTTTCCTTCTCAGTAAAATGCCTCCCCTCCTAAAGCTATCATTTCATCCATTCATTCAACTTGGGGCGGTTTCCCACACTTTTCTGTGGCTCAGTCACTCAGTTGTGTCTGACTCTTTGTGACCCCATGTACTGTAGCCCTCCAGGCTCCTCTGTCCATGGGAAAAAATCCAGCAAGAATACTGGAGCGGGTTGCCATTCCCTTCTCTGGGGGATCTTCCCGACCCAGGGATCGAACCCATGTCTCCTACATTGCAGGCAGATTCTTTACCATCTGAGCCATCGTGGCTTGGTCTGCTCATCTCTACAACGGGGATTTAGAGAGGCAGAGGACTGATGTGATGATGAAAGAAATCTGCACTTAGAGCAGCGTTTAGCCCAAAACAAGGCTGATATCACCCTCGGTGCCCACCCACTGATTGAACTCCTGCTGTGTGGGGGGTACCAGGCTGGGCACTGGGGGGGTCCCTGTGAGGCCAGCCAGCCAGCAAGTGGAGGAGAAGGGGGCTCTGGAGCACCCAGCCTTCCAAGGCGGCCGCCTCCCAGGCTGAGTGTTTCAGCTGTACCCAGGCCAGATGCACAGTTCTGCCAAGTAAGGTGCTGAGAGAGGCTGTCACCCCACAGCACAAAGGCGGCTCTGCACGTCATGGGCGGGGCTGGGGAAGAGCTCCAACCACCTGGCTCTGCAACTGCTCCAGGGGCAGCCTGGCCCCACGCCTGCGCTCCTGCTTCTCCGCTCCGGTCCAGGAAGGATGGGGCAGGGCAGGGCCTGCACAGGAGGCAGGCCCAAGATCCCAGCAGAGAAGGGACGAGAGCTGGATCATCGGGCCTGCAGGCAGGCAGGGAGGGAGCCCCTGAGCAGGAAGGAGGAAAGGAGGGGAGGGGAGAATATTAACGGAGGAGCAGATGCTCGCTGAGCAGTGACTCCTCAATTACACCTCGTAACAACCTCAGTCACTGGTCTGTTACTCCTCATAACAGCCTCAAAAGAAGTGCCCACTAGTGAGCACTTCATTTTACAGTTCAGAAAATCAGAGCACAGAGAGATTAAGTAACTCGCCTGAGGTCACACAGCCAGTACGTGGCAGAGCTGGAATCTGAACCCAAGACAGCCAGGGTCCACGCTGTTAATCTTTATGAAGATGAAGAGGAGGGTAAAGGACAAGGGAAGAAGAATGACTAGAAAGGCGGAGAGAAGGACAGAAGGCAGAGAGAAGGGAGGAAGGAGAAAAAGAGGAAATGAAGGAAAGAATAGCAAAGATGGAAGGAGAGAGGAGAAAGAAGAGAGAGCTGGAAAGAGTGGAGGGGGAGAAGCTAACATTCCGGAGGGAAGGGGGCCCCTCCCTGGGGGCCTGGGAGAGGGAGGCTGCCCTCTGCCTGTGCCACCCCTCCCCCTCCTCCTGCACCGCCCCCCCCCCACCCACCGCCATCCCACCCACTTACGGAGCTGCTTCCTGAGTCACACACCAGGCTCCTGAGAAGGTGGAGAGTTGAAGCCGGAAATGGTGGCTTCCCTGAGAGAGGTGATGAGGTCAGCGGCTGCCCAGAGCCGGAGAGAGGAGGTCGAGGGCCAAAGAACCGGAGGGTCTGCCAGGCAAGGAGTCCCCAGTGTGCCTGTCCGGAAGACTTGTTTCTACCCCATGGCCCCCCTTCAGGGGCCTTGTCCCCAGTTCAAAGTTGAAGAAGTCCAAGTCAGGAGGTGAGGTTAAATCCCCCAGGGCCCAGGACTGGTAAAGCTCCACTGCAGAGCTGGAGCCCATGGTCCAACCAGAAGCTGCTGCACCCTCAGCCTTGACACTCCCCGGCCTCCACACTCCCCAGCCTCCACACTCCGCAGCCTCCGGAGCCCACGAGGTGGAAGCCTGGGCCAAGTACCAGCTTCAACAGCAGGCGGAGCTCAGCTGGAGAAGCTGCTTGTACACAATCCACTGGGCACGCTCACCCTCTTCTCTCAAGTGACCTACTCAGCACCCCAGACCCACCAGCCTCTCTGCAGGACAGTCCACCAAGGGCACAGAGAGGAGAGCCCAGGCCACTCACATTCGGCCTGAACCAAGCTGAAGGCCCCCTGCCATCAGAACAGGCTGTGTCATTACATAAACGTCAGATCAAAGCTGAGGCCTCCCTGCTTACTCCTCACTGAGCTGATGTCCACAGAGGCCAGATGGGGAA